CTGAATACATTCATTTCAAGAGCATCTGTTACTGACTGGGTGCAGACAGAAGCTCAAGAGGGTGTTGCATTGTTTGTGTGCGTTTTCTCCATATGTAACAGTGAATATGCTAGCTAGTTTACTCTTGAGTACTGCACACAGTTAATATCAACACAAATTCACGTGACCCTTCCAATAATGTGACCACGCCCATTGTCCTGATGAAGAAAAAAGAAAAAAAAAAAGAAGAAATATAAGTAAATATATATAAAATTGAGCCAACAATTGGCTGTTTGTATTTACACACCGAACAGTGTGTACACTCATGCATGCGGCATATGAGGGCGAGCTCAGTGCAGACACATTTGAGTCATGTGATTTCTGATGTCACATATGATGTCATTCATAACACACCAGCCTGTTCCATCATCCATCCCTCTGTAAGGCAGACAGACTGTAAGGCTGCACTCTGACTCATCACATTTTTGTCTGCAGCTTCCAGATGCTTCTCTTTTCCAGCTTTTGTTTCATGGTGGAGGAGGATGTCCTTGAAGCATGTAAATGTGTGTGTGTGTGTGGTTGAGTTTCATCCTTCATCTCTCCTCTGTTTTCTCAACCCAGGGAAATTTGTTGGTCTATGAATATGATTCATTGCCTCTGCAGCTTCATGTTATTGGCTCTGTGTCTATTTTTTTTGGCTCCTTCTAAGACATACACACACACACACCTCTCTGTATGTGTGTGTGTTTATGTTTTGGTCCAAGAGGAAAGAGATGTGCTGATTGGCAGCATATTTCAGCATTAATTAATTCAGGAATTCAGGTGTGTTTGACACCTAGTGATGTGTGAAACAAGTGTGCGTGAGTGAGTGAGTGTGTGTGTGTGCGTGCGTGCGTGCGTGCGTGCGTGTAATTGCATGATTATCAGGACCAGGAAGTGTTCTCAGTAACGCAGTGATGTCTCTGTGAGGTGTGATACTGCTCAAAACTCACTGCTGCTATTTTTAGCCTCAGTTCTCCTCCTCCCTCGCTCCCTCGATATCTCTCTCCTCTCTGTCTTTCTCCCTGTCTTTGTTGCTAGGAGGCTGGCTGCTGGTACAGTCTCCTGCAGGGACCAAAAAGGTGAAACAACTGACAAAATGGTGGGATGAGGAGAGAGGAAGAGGCAGCCATAAAGGCTATGTTTCCTATGGTTGTAAATAAATTTAGCTTATAGTTTTCCCATTTTTGTTTCCTGTGAAGTAGCTGTAAGGTTGTTTAAATCGTCTTATTTCACACTGTCAGTATCAAATATATTTTATATTAGCATCTCCCTGCTCTTCATTGAAGCTGTGTGACGTTTAGACTGGGTGAAATATTCAAACAAGACTCCATGTTTTTCATAGCTCCATCACACATGAATATTTTAGATATCATTTTATACACTTTATCCCAAAATTCAGGCGGACACATTTGACACCTGAGCAATTGAAAAACATATTTGCTCCTTATAGCTGAAAATGACAGAAGCCATGATATATCTGTCATATTTTTCTGGCTGATTTTGTACCGACAACATTTCTAGATACTTTCTCAGCAGATAAATAAACGTTTTTACTGGCAAGTGGCAACTGATTATGACAGAAAATGTCTTGACTTAAAATATTGATTCACTGTTTTCATTTAATTTCTCATGATTGGGGAAAAAATATGTGTGTTTGGCCTGACAGATACCTTAGTTGTGAGTGTTTGTGCTGAACAGATGTGAGGCTGTGACCTGTGGTTTGATCATCCTGGCTGATTGCGAGGGAGGGTCTCCCCTGTTTAGCTGCTGTTTCATCTGTAACTCAGCACACGCTCTCTCTCTTTATGATGCCTTATGAAGGTGCAGTAAGGAAGATCTCCTCCCTCATGTTCTGCCTTACTCCTCTTTGAGTTAACGTTGGCTATATACTCTATTTCTATATGATCTATTTCTCTGTGTCACTTCCACTTCTCCACGCTGTCAAATCCCTCCTTTCACAGTCAACACATTACCATAAATGACCAATGATCTCTCTGCCTGGTTTCCACGAGCCATCACTGGATACCGTCCTATCACAGTAATTCTGTCCATCCATCTTTCAGACCTATTATTGGTCAATTGTGCTATAACATTTAAAAACACTGAGTTGTTTCTAATTCTGGCTATTTCTGTGGATGAGGTCATCACTGAGGAAGATCCTGCCCATTTTACCATTCAGGCGTCTAAACAGATCCAGATCCTCCTCTTGAGTTCAAGATTTCGCAACGTCAAACGAAGCCTGACAGCATGTACAGGGAGCATTCGCCTCATTTTTCTCTGGCTTCTGCCACTTATGCTCTGGTGCTTGGTCATCTCCCAACATCTCTCCAAGACGGTGCCATAAAACATTTTTTCAAGGAATCATCCTTATCTTCTATCTTCATAGGGGCCTATGCATAATGAAGATCAATCACATCAGTGGAGTCTAATCGCTAAAACTCTCTCCGTTGCTTACCTAAATTTGATCTCTTCTTTTCGAACTCTGTCTGTCTTACTTTGTTCTTTTCTTTTCCTTTCTTTTCCTCCAAGCACACAACCTACCAGCAATATAACACTCATTATCTCAAAAACCACATGTGCACACTAGAGTCCTACAGATAAATTAGCCAATCATCAGCTGGTATTAGCTTATCACACATATACTGGTATCTGCATATGTGCTGGCAAGTACATAAATGCCAAAGATATGTTTATGGTAATTTAAAAACAGTGTAACCATGACATGATCTCCTAACGAGCAGAGACAAGTTTATCTTTTAACTGTAAAATGTCTTGGTCAGACCTCCCATCAAGTGTTTGTCTTACTTAAGAAAAATTGCCAGCTCGTATATTGTTACCAGTTGTTATTAACATTCATTTATAGATAGATAGATACTTTATTTATCCCTTAGGGGAAATTCATTTAACTGTATTTGTACGGCTTTAAAAACCCAGTTCGGTTGAGCTCCAGGTCTCAGTCACTCTCTCCACCACACTGACACTACAACACATGCAAGTTGTCATCACAGTCCCACTTCAAATACAATTGTTTCTTGGTCGTCTTGTATACTTATTCCCTACGTAGTTCTTTATTATTTCAGTTACTTTAAATAAATATATTATTTACTATTCTGATTTTTTTTGTTTTTTATTAAATACGTCCTTTGACAGATTATATCTCTTCTTTCTCAACTGTCACTCAGATGCAAACCTAAACCACACTGCACACTGCCTAACCACACTGATCACACTGATCACACTGTTTGGTGTTCCTGCAGGGGTGGAGACAGAAAAGGATTAGAGAAAGAAAAAAATCTGGGACAGCTGGTGGGGTTGATAGTGATGGAGCTTTGAAGGAAAAATATGTGAATAACACTTTCAAACACTTTCAGTAAGGAACTATATAATCACAAATGAAAAATAGATATTTTAAAAGTTCCCATACTAAAGTACTATTGGTCATAGCAACATCAAAAAAGTCTTTCATTGTTCTTCTATTTCTGTGTTATTTCCTTCGTTCTCTGAGAGGCTGTAGCTGCCATTTCACATCATCACTCTTCTTAATACTAAGAGCCAGAGACGGACAGACAGACAGAGGGAGGAAGGTCGATAGTTTGTGTGACCATGATGTCATGATTCAGATGATCGGTAGTGAAGCAGCACACCAAATTAACCAGTTTCTCTTCTACAATGAGGTCTTTCTCTCTCGACTGCAAAATTGTCATCAGCAGTTTATGTAACGTCAAAAGAAGCAGTGAAATCGTTGGTCCTCCAGAAAGACTCTGAGCTCATCGTCATGTGCTTTAGTTACCTTCATGAAGACGATGTCATTTAAACATGTCTGTATCACGTCTGTAGTTTACTGCATATGTTACATGTTTGCAAGTATTTGAAATAAATGAGTCTCAGTGAAGTGAAAATCCTCCTTCATGTTAAGATTATAACACATAAAGGTTTTAGAGTCTAAATCCCGTAGTGATTTGTGGAGGTGTGGGTGTGAAAGTAGGGCTGTTTGTACTCTTGACTTAGTTTGTCCTACATAATGCTTTAATAAAGACAAAAAGAAGGGTAGTGATGATATTTCTGTCTGCTTTCATTTTGAAAGTTTTTATTGTTAGACTTAATGTGCAGAATCAGGTTAAAGGGTCAGTTTAAAAATAACATTTTCTCATTTAGGCCATACTTGGCAAATGATCCTACACAAAACAAATATATAAATTTCAGTAGATGCAGTAGATGTAGATGCAGTTTCAGTAGATAAAACGCATTCTGTTACTGGGGTACACATATGTCCTTTTTACCTCTTAATTTGCTTTTTTTCTTTCCCTTTCTGTAAAAAAAACCACGTATGTATGTGTGTGTGCGTGTATTCATCTACGTCTGCGAGCTGGATTCCTCAGCCATGTGACCGGCAGTGTTGATTACTGTCTGTGATCAGCTGATTGCCTCCAGTCACAAGTCTTCAAAGGCCTGAAACAGTTATATGGCAGTGTTTGTGTGTCTGTGTGAGAGAGAGAATTTTGAGTTGACCACGCAATATCCAAAACTGCATTTTTCAGTGGATATTAGCTGCTATATTTTCAATAGTTTGTTCAATGGTTTTTCCCACAACTTTACTGACGACTATGAGCCATGTGCTCATGACTGTGGAAACACAGAGCCCAGTGTTTTCTCTGAGGTCATACTGTTTTAACTGATAGAGGAAAGAAGTATCAGTAACTCTCCTGTTATCCGTCTTTTTAAAAAAGGTTTTAGTTGAAGTAGAGAAAACATCAGTCAAATAGGATCTCCTATTGACTCATCTTTATTCCAGCCTGCTTGGAAAACTAGATGGAGAAATTTGTCACAATGTGATCCTCAAATAAGACATTTCAGATAATTAGAGCAATAGAAAGATGTAGTTTTCATATTGACCCATGCATTTTCAGTGTACAGTACAAAAAAAGAATGGTATTTTGAGTGGAAATAATCTAATTATTCTATTTTCTTTTGTTTCTCAGTGTGCTCGGGTGTGGATTCCAGATGCAGAGGAGGTGTGGAAGTCTGCTGAGCTCACCAAGGACTACAAAAATGGCGACGCCTCCCTGCAGCTCATGCTGGAGGATGGAACGGTAAGGATGAATGGAAGAGTGGGGATGGGGGAGGAATCTCACTCTCCCTCTTTATGTTATTTTCTCCTCCCAGCTCTTTTTGTTGCTTTCTCTGTGTCAGTCTCTCGGCCTCAAAGACGCTTGAAAGCACAGCGTCTCATTAGCTGCTATTGGTTTTACCATTAGCACTCTACACAGATGAGACCGGGTTGCAAAGATGCCCCAAGGAGCATTTTAAATGTATAGCAGCGTATTTAATTCCTCAGCTCTGAATACAAACAGCTACAAGCACATATTTCTTACCACTAGCTATCATTAACAAGCACTCCTCTTAATGAATGCGTGCTCGTAGCAAAACCATTTGTCATATTGCCCCTAGTGATTTAATATTCATGTGATCATATGTAAGTGTAACAGCTACCATCAAAGAGGTTTTGTTTTGTTTCTATATGTTTGGCTTGCTGTTTAATGTCTCTAAAACTTATTAACAGTTTTCTGTGAAATTTGTTGAAAAGCGAGGCCGTTAGCCAAGTGAACATGTGACAGATTTCTGTTTTTTTTTTTGGCCTGTTTTTTAAGGAGTTAAGGTTATTTTGTGTAGCTTAATATCACATACCATGTCTCCATTAGCTTTGCAGGGCCACAACGGCAGCGATTTTCAACATCGTCCAATCTCTCAAAGAGGACAAGCACAAATTCCCTCAAGCCCCCTAAGAAATGAATTATTTGGATGCTCAATAAGGCAATTCTTTTTTTTTCTTTTTTCTTTTTTTTTTTTACAGTTTTCAAGGAAACACTGCACCATATTTGTGGATTTTGATGCTGATCTAGATCTGATCAGATTAAAGATTCTATTTAGATGATTGTGCAGCCCTGTGATGCATGAGTTCACGTGGGTTAGATGGCTATTGTTGAAGATCATCAAAATAACACACTGAATTAGTCAATCAAATAATTAGATTATCTAATTAATTCCTGATGCTAAGAGACTCCATGTTGCAGAATCAATTATGTTTTTCAAACAATCATCGGGCAGAGAACGAGATGCATTTAATAGGGGAATAAAAAGTGTAAAATGTGAGAATGTAAATGCGCATGAGGCATGGGACGCAGACAACAAAACTGAAAACATGACTGATACAAACAGCTTTTAACAACCGATCATTTTGCTCTGAAGCTGTGGCAAATCAGTAGTCTGTCTCATGACATTTCTGAGAACATATGAAATACTGTATACATACTTTTAGTGGGTGCGGACATCTGTTATTGATTATTTAAATGGTGGTCTCTCCACTGTTAGTCAGCCACAGACAGCCAGACCTGGGAAACTGCAACAGCTAAACGTGTGAAGGAGTTTACAGATCCTCAACCAGGAGAAAGATGGAATTTATCACACGACTTGACTTGACTTAATGTATGAGGAAGGAACATTATATATTGGATCGGATGTTAGCAGTAGAAAAGAGCATGTTTCGCTCTCATTATTGGGTAAGTATAAACACAGAATGTAGTTTGTTGGCACTGTGAGGCTCACTGTTGCTTGTTTTGAAAAAACTCAACACATTATTGTAGTATTGTATTTATTTAGCCATAGAAGATACGTGCATCTTATTGGCTGGCAGGTGTCTGTAAAAATAATGTATCAGGATGCCTCAAAGATATTTTAATGTCAGCCATCTGACTGAGTTTCAGATGAGTTCCTATATTTGATTATGATTGGGGGAAGATACAGGCACAAATCATGATCCTCTGCTGCAGGGTGAAGGTGTCATGTTAATTTGTACAATGTAAAGTAACTAACACAGGTCAAGGTCATTTTACACTGATCCACCACCTTTATATTGTGTGTCACACTTGTATCTCTCCTGTATTGCTCTTTTTTCCTGATAGAACATTGAGCACAAGCTGGACCCCAAGACGAAGAACCTGCCTTACCTGCGAAACCCAGACATCCTGGTTGGCGAGAATGACCTCACAGCGCTCAGCTACCTCCACGAGCCGGCCGTGCTGCACAACCTGAAAGTCCGCTTTATCGACTCTAAGCTCATCTACACTTACTGTGGTAGGAAGGAACTCAAACCATCTAATGAAGCTCTATTGTATGTTTTCTGTTCTTAGAGTGAAATCCTAGTGCAAAGAAAAAAAAGTGACACAGCATTGAGAGTTAATCACAGTCCTTTTACCCTGCATATACATGTATGCTATGTGATTTTGATTTTGACTGATAAGTAGACAGTTAAGTACTTCCTACAGCATGCCTATCAGCTGTGTAATGCTCTAAAATAGATGGTTTTATACTTCATTAGTTAAGCACTGCCTTGACGTCTGTGACCTTCAATAATCTTCATTGTATCTATGCTGTAAGTCAAGCATTGTTTATTATCTCAAGTCAACAAGGGTATGCTATGCTTATCAAGTACATTTACACACATTTGCACACACAAGCTTGTCCATTATTAGCTGCAAACTGTAGACATTCACTTGCATTGTATGGTAAGGTATCATTTGCAGCAAATTCAAGAGGAATAATACAAAGTATGACGTGTTTCATTTATTTTTCACAGTACTCTTACTGTTTCAGTTAAGTTTTCTTCAGTCAAATAGTCACTTTGTTTTGGAAACCAACCAATCACCACTTGCGTTGTTTTAAAATTTTGTTTTTGCTGCAGATATTAAATTAGAAAAATGTCTTGCAGTACATTTGAGCCATATAAACATATAATCAAATAAGCTTTTTTGAGTTTAACAAGGTTTTACTATTTATGTCAACTGAGCAGGATCTGGTTTTCTTCCCTGCTCATGTTGCTGTTGTTTGTTTTAAAAAGGCCCCTTGCATCCTGACAATGAACAACAGATAATGAAAATTATACAGTATGTATTATACTTGAATTATAATACCTACCCTCTCCGTCTGCAAAGAAGCATAACAGGGTGATACCTGTTTAATACAGCCCAGTTCAACTGCAGGTGAGCTCACACCTGTTGTCTGTGTCATAGGAATCGTTCTGGTGGCCATCAACCCATACGAGACGCTGCCAATCTACGGGTCAGACATCATCAATGCCTACAGCGGTCAGAACATGGGAGACATGGACCCACATATTTTTGCTGTGGCAGAGGAGGCTTACAAACAGATGGCCAGGTTTGTGTGTGTGTGCATGTGTTACCTGAGTAGCTCTCGTTCTAGTCTCCTTGTTGCTCAGCCCCCTCTCTCCCTCCAGGGTTTGTAGGTCAAAGCTGTGACAGAAATAGCCTTATGGTGGTCTCACTGTCTCTCTCTCTCCTTCTCACTCTTTTAAACACACACACACACACACACACACACACACACACACACATTTGAACACTGGTTTTCTCTGCAGAAGCCCACCAGTAGATCTTAGTGGCCCCTCTCTGGGAGTTTATGTCGTCAACACACTACTGTATATACTAAGATTAATCAGCACTCAGATCTCTCTCCCTCCTTCCTTTGCTAATGCAGTGTTAGTTGAAACCCGTCAGCAAACAATTAATAATACTCATTCTCTATATCAGGGTCTTATTTTCATATTAATCCTACAATTTGACAATAATGAAGCATATAACATAATATTTTAAAGTAATATGCAATAAATAATATTTTCTATACTGATATGAATCATTTAAATTAATAGTGTGTTCGTGCACGTACACTGACACAGTCGGATATAGAAACTGTTGATGCGTGGTATATACAGATGTGGCTGAAAGTGTTGGTACCCTTCAACTTCAAAAAGAAAAAACACAATTTTCTATTAAATAAGTTGAAACTGACAAAAGTAGTTGAAATCCACTATTCTCTATTCCATATTTAACAGAACAGACACTTAGCTTTTCATTTTTGATGTAATAAATTATTTTTAAATAATAACACAAATGAAAATTGCATGGAAAAATATTGGGACCGTTAGCTGTTCTGTAGCACATCCTTTTGAGGTAATCACTGCAATCAGACTGTTTTTGTTGCTCGTAATGAAGCTTCTCAGCTGGTAGTTTATCCCACCCTTCTTTAGCACCCTGCTCCAGTTCTCTTAGGTGTGATGGGTGCCTTTGTCCAGCTGAGAGTTTCAGTTCTTTCTGTAGATCTTCAGTTGGATTAAGATCTTCAGAACGGTCCAATGTTTTCCTCTCACCCATTCTTGGGTGTTTTTCATTGTATGATTCAGGTCATTATCCTGTTGAAGGAGCTGTGACCTGCGACTGAGACAGATCTCTCTGACACTGGGCAGTGCATTTTGCTTTAGACTGCTGTGATGATCTTCTGATTTCACTGTGCCCTGCACAGATTCATGGCACCCTGTGTCAGACGCTGCATCGTAACCCCATAAAATAACTCCATGTTTTACAGTGGGGGTGGTGTTCTTTTCTTTTAAAGTTTATTTTTCTTTTGTGAACATAGAACTGATGTGACTTAACAAAAAGCTCTCATTTTGTTTAATCTATTTAAAGGACATCTTCCCTGAAGCATTGTGGCTTGTCAACATGCATTTTTAGCAAAGTTTTGTCAGGCTTTTTTATGTTTGTCTTTTCTAAAGTGGAAGCTTCCTGAGTCTTCTTCCATAGAGCCCACTTTAATTCAGAAAGAAACCTATGATGTGACCAGTCACTGATGTGTCTTGATCTTGGAGGTCAGCTTGTATCTGTTTTTGAGCTTTCCTTGGTTCCTATTCCATCATTCAAATTATCCTTCTGTTCAATTTGGAGTCAATTTTCCTCTTCCTCAGCCACATCCAGAGACTTTAGCTCTGGTCCCCAGTGGTCACAGGAGCATCAAACTGGTTGGAGATGGTCTTGTAGCTTTTATCTTTACTATGTTTGGCAATTATTTTCTTCCTTATCTCCTCAGACAGCTCTCTTCTATTCTTTCTCTATGTATGTATGTTTGTGTTCAGTGTGTCGCACACAATGATGCCAAACAGCACAATGAAGACAATAGTCTGCTTGAAATATCATTTAGTCCAGGCCATTTATCTTTGTATAATAAACAAGAATTCAGCTCTTTTCACAGCTTCTGTGTTTTATTCTATGCCAAACCAAAACCATGCTGGTATACATGACAAGAGCTTTTAATTTCAAAACTTCCCAGGAGGAATGGAGCATTTTTCAATGAGGTGTAGGGGTATCAACACTTTTGGCCACGTCATGAACTCGGCTCAAACATTTGCATCACACTGCTTCATTCATGTCAAGTTTATTTACTTGTTTCTATATCCCTCTGACATACAGTGACTGGGTCTTCTTTACAAGCTCACAACAGCAATAGCTCCAGAAACAACCTATACTCTATAGGAAGACAAAACCTAAGGGTGTAATGGAAAAAATGAAACTTGTGAGAGGACATTTCAAGAAATGTCTTGCCACCTGAGACACTAATGGATTGCAACCGAGCCAGCTTCCCTTCCAACAGCTGGGAGTGTATTCCAAAGAAAGGTGGCACAGTAGGAGGAAGCAGCATGAGGATTTTGTCTCAGTTCTGGGATTAATGAGGAGGTTTTGCTGAGATATTAAAACACACAGAGGAACAACAGGGCTTATAAGGTGTGTTCACACCTGCTCTGCCTGTAGGCACTGAAAATGTTTGTCGATGATGGCATCTGACATGTTGTCTCTGCCCAGGGCTTAACCCTTGTATTGTTTGTGTCACACTTTTTAAACTATAGAAGATTGGTGCATATACTGTACACAAGAGTAATCCTTAACCTTAGCACTAGTTTTGATTTAACCCTGATATAAATGAGTGATGCAAAGCCACAAAACCTTGCACCTAACAAAAACTGGTGATCACCTTCCTCACAGCCTCAATTCAGTGTATCCTATGGTCAAAACTGGTTCTCAGCTTTTCAGTAATACATGATATACACATTTTTCTTATGTTTCTTTTTCAACCTGTCAGGGACGAGAGGAACCAGTCGATCATTGTGAGCGGGGAGTCCGGAGCAGGAAAGACGGTATCAGCCAAATACGCCATGAGATACTTTGCTACGGTCAGCGGCTCCGCCAGTGAGGCCAACGTGGAGGAGAAAGTCTTGGCTTCCAACCCCATCATGGAGGTGAGGACTCGATGCTGACCTTGGATTACTTTCTTTTTTTTTTTTTTTTTTTTTTTTTTTTTTTTTAAAGCTGGTTCCTACTGACACTCAAAGTTTGCCTACTATAGAGATGGAGAACACTTTTGAAAATATAAAATAATGAACATGTTTTAAACTTTTTGGCAGCATTTCTTTCTATTGTCCTGATTTACAGAGAGGTTTTTGCATTCGCTGAAATCACTGGATGCAACTTTATACAACCTGTATACTTAAATTACAGGTCAAAACACTTGCAGGAAATGTGTCGTGAGTGTGAAACACAGCCCCAGACTGCTGTGAATTTGTCATGAAAGTGGAAGACTTGTGTCATTTTTCCTGACAGTTTGTCTATAGATGCTTGTTTCTATTTCCCAATCACTATACAGTAAATTCACAAGCTTAGTTGCTTTGTGGATGATTTGCTTTGTGCGTCTTCTCTCATCTGTTCTCCTCATCACTGGCATTTTACTGTCTTCCCATCAATTTCTCTACCACACTCCGTCTTTCTGGCCTCGGGCTGCTCTCTTGCTGTGATATCCTTAAGTGCGTGTGTGTTTGTGTATTTCTCTCAGCAGAGTCATAGGGATAGGAGGGGCTGGAGAGCTCTCCTGTGCCCATATGCCACTACCCCACTTCCACCCCGCTCCACCTCCTGCCATCCCCCACCCTGTCCTTCCTTTTCCACCCACTCTTCGAAAATCACTTGCCTCCTCCCAGCCACCGCTTTCACCTCGAGCCAATCAGAGACGAGCTGACAGAAATGAATAGAAAGCTTTCTTTCGTCGCAGTGATGTCACTTCAGCCTCTAAGCCTGGATGCAGAGTAGACGGTTGCATCAGCCTTTTTGATATTGCAAAACCTGTGTGTGTGTGTGTGTGTGTGTGTGTGTGTGTGTGTGTGTGTGTGTGTGTGTGTGTGTGTGTGTGTGTGTGTGTGTGTGTGTTTGGTTGATGCAGTCAGAGACTGGAATACCTGCTCTGCTGAAAGACTTCTTGTCTGCAGTGAAACACTGTGTTTGGCCTTAACTCAGCAAGAACTCTCTGTGTTCACACATGATTTAACTCTTTTCAGGCTGGTTGTTTGTGTAGCTTGTGTGTGTGTAGCTGGTGTGTGTGTGTGTGTCTCTGTGTATGTAGACCCACCCATTTACTGACAATACCTAGTGGGATCATTGATCAATCCTGTATATTGAACTAAGGCTGCTGACTGCAGATGATTTGTTTGCTGATGTATAGTACAGTAGCCCAGCAGGAAAGGTCTGCCAACATATCATTGATCCAACTCTGGTGTGTGGAAGGACAGAGAGGCATTAAAATATACTAGTGCTTTGTCAAGTGTGTGGACCAACCACAAATAATCTGCAGCCTATTTCAGGTTGTAACAAACAGCATGAGAGACTTTGATGCGCTAGTTTTAGGATCAGGTGAACATACTGCTTTAGAAAGAAATTCTCTGTCACTGTGCACGCTACATATAGTTCAACATTTGGGGAGATAAGCATATTCTTGTAGCTTTGCTGAGAATTGGATGAGAAAATTGATACCACTCACATGTCTATATGGTCTGGGATGACTCTGTCCAATGGTAATCTTATTAGTTCCAGACAAAAACAGAAACAGAATAACGACACATTGCAGTTTTAGCCGGAATATTTCAACGACTTCCTGGCAACAACACGACGTCTGGTCAAGACATAGACCGAATTTTGTTGTAGTTGTTGTTGTAGTTTTTTGTTTACCTTACAGACATGAGAGTGGTATAGATCTTCTCATCTAACTCTTGGAAAGAAAGTGAATACCCATATTTCCCAAAGATCAAACTATTCCTTAAAGTGGCAAGAGCACAATTAGCACTGAAAACTATTTCACTGTGATGATAGGTATTCTATTTCCTCCTTGTTCTTTCTGCTTCACCACAGAACTCAAAAATTACCATTCACTGTGCTTTTGTTTTGATTGATTTTGAGTTTAAACCAAATTGCTTTTAAATAAAAATGTACACCTGCTCTGTCACACTTTTAACACTATCACGATAAAATGCTGTGTGTTGTCTTTCACTCAGGCTATTGGAAATGCAAAAACCACCAGAAATGACAACAGCAGTCGTTTCGGCAAATACATTGAGATCGGCTTCGACAACCGCTACCGCATCATTGGTGCCAACATGAGAACATATCTGCTGGAAAAATCACGAGTGGTCTTTCAGGTGAGCGCACAAATGCACATTCAAGTTTGCATGAACGCACACACACACACGGCCTGTTTTCTTATACTTGTTTGGATGTTAAACTGACTTACATTCATTCCTTAACTCATTGCAGTCCATTAACCCTGCCACAGGCATCACAGACAAATGAACAAAGTTAACCTTTGTACACGTCTACATCGACACTTGAAGGGACTCGACATATAACACAACATGCTCTATATAAATAGCCCTCACCTACATTCAGCTTCAGTTCACTAAGAGGCCAGTTTTCAGATTGTGGAGTTTGTCAGTCTTTTCAAAGCAGTTAAAGTATCATTGGCTTTATTGTGTCCTTCAGCCACATTACCTGGATTCCTGTTAGTAAATATCCTTCCTGCTGAAGTCTTCTTGTGTATGTAACACGCTCCTCCAGCGTTATAGGTAAAAGAGAATTTCCTGAAGGGTCTGTTAAGTGTCATTTTGGTTTGTTATTGCGTTTGTCACAGCCACTCCTCTACATTAGCTTATTTCCTTGACATCTGAGGTGTTCTTGCTATATCAGCCAACAAAGCCTGTCTGTAGTAATGTATTTACAGCATGCACTACAGCTACAATTTAACACATTCAAGGGTTTCCTCACTGTCATGAGAATCATTGTATTGTTGCCAAAATCTCTGAGTTATAACTTACTGCCTGATTTGAGCCATTATAACAAAACCATATCCTGTTTATCTGGGAACAGATTCCTGCAGGTTTTTAAACACTACAGCAAAATAACCTCATAATTATAGCAGAATTAGATTTATATTGTGTGTGGTGGTGATGTTCTCATTTGGGTTCACCAGTCCAATGTTTACCTGAAAACTAAGACAACTGACTCCCTCAGTTTTCAGTTCTCTCAAAAATTGTATTAGTAAGTGAAGTAACACACACACACCATAACACAACTGCAAGCACACACATGATATCACTGTCTGTGTTTTAAAACACTGTTGGCTTCCAGTGGCTTGTAGAATTGCTGCACATGCACACATGCATGCAGAAGCACACACAGCAAATAGGTAGCCTTGTGATGTAATATGAAGTGTCAGTGTGTCAGCTTGACAACAGGCAGGCGACATGCTGGACAAGAAACTCCTCGGTTCTCCCAGTGGACCTCTCAGCTACTGTTGCACTATTAGATATAGATAATCAATATGTTCAGTTTGTGATCTTATGATTTAACTTATATGATATGCACTTTTCCTCTGCCTGCCTTGTATACAATAACTACTTCAGTGATTTGCAACAGTTAACTGTACTAGTCCTGCTTGAACTGCTGATGCATCATCTGTAAATTTACTGGAAAATTCTGCACAGGAAAACTGTTGTGACATTTAGGAATGCTGATCATAAGTAGACCCTGAACAACACTGAAAAGAAGATGCTTAACAGGACATTCACTCAGCACAGTACTCAGCACTCAGTAGTATAGCTTAACTTATTGATCCCACAATTTAACAATAATGTTAACCCTGCAGTAGCGAAACAATAGATAATAACTGAGGATTTCTAAAATCTTCTCTCTTGGGGAGATCGTGATTCTTTTTGTTTGCTTCAGGCCCTCACATGTATGAAGAAGAGCAGTCAGCCAGACACATTCTCACACACACATACAGAAGCCACAACAGTGTGTTAACTAACGTCATCAGTAGGACTCATTAAAAAAACCAAAAAAAAAAAGAACAGAAGCAGCACACATTAACTGTCAGTCCAGCCCTGGTGTCCTTTTAGAGCAGAAGAAGTATGCAGCCATAACTTCCTTCTTCACAAAGTAGCAGGAAACAAAATAAACCCATCCCTTTTACAATCCATCTGTCACACTAGGCTGCAGCACTGCCACTCCTTCCCTCTTCCCCCACTTTCTCTCTTTCTTTTTTTTTATCAGGATGTACTTTACATTTTTACATAATGATTTAATTTATGTGCTTCTTCTGGTCAGATCTTTCTTAAGATTCTGTTTCTCTCTCTTAGCAACCTCCCATAAAGTCAAGAGAATCCAAATCAGGGCACATGTTTAAAAAGCACTTGTCTTTACACAATCCACTGTCTTGTTTCATCGCTCCTATTTTCTTTCTTATCCTGTCTGTAAAGCTCTGTCTAATTACTTCCTTGAAAAATTCTATATTGATAAAGTTTAGTTAGTTTGTTTCTTATAAAACTTCATTGTATCTTTTGTGGGTGTGTTTGCCAGTAAGGTGGTGTCTTGATTTAAGAAAAAAAAAAAGGATATTTTATTTCTGCACACACATACACACACTCTGCTGTTATGGGCAACACTATTGAGGAATGAGGAAGTTGGTGGAAAGACATGATAACTTTCCTCCTTACATTTTTCACATACTTGGCTCCAGTGCCACCCATTCATACGTGTGTGTTTGTGTGTGTTTGCATTCTGTGCTTGGGTGTAGTAGCACCAATACAGGACACAGGTAACAGACCTCAAACCTTGAGGCCTTTACATTTTGTTTCCTGCTTTACAGCACCCCTACACCATGCCCTTTTTAACATGAGTTATTATTTCCAACTATACTGGCCACTTGCATTATTTATACCCATAAACAATATGATCCATCAGGTATTCCATCGTGTGGAAAACAGGTGGGTCACATATTCATCTGTATGTCTAGGGAATTGTGAGTGTGGTAAAATAAACGAGTAACATTCGCATCTGACTCAGTAAGATCTTTTGACATGCCCTTGAGCGAAGCATTGAATTGCCAATTGCTTCAGTGGAGCTGTCAGATGTTAAACGGTCAATCTATATAATTCTAAACAAACATACAGACACTCTCAACTTTCACTGGATGAATGTGGTAATTAGAACGACTGATCACTTTCACTCGTGATGTATTTGAATAAACTAAGCATGCTACAGGTGTACGTGTAGCATTTCCCTCATATTATATCCTCTTCATACTTTCTTCTTCCAGGCGGATGAGGAGAGGAATTATCATATCTTCTATCAGCTCTGTGCATCATCCCATCTGCCTGAGTTCAAGAATCTGAAGCTGAGTAAGTCTCGTGCACGTACAGTATGCACACACGCACGCAAACATAGACCTGGTAAATTAGGCTGCAGCACCGATGAGTGATCCAAGTCTGTCATGGAAGTCAAGTACAGATCTATCTGCCTGTCCTACATGGGGGGAAACACTTGTTTGACTTCATAATTATAATATAATCTGAATAAATTTGTAGCCTATATATGTTACCAAAATCAGTTGAAATGAAAATAGATATAAACTAAAATTGATATACTGTTCACCATAATGTGACTAATGACTGCAATGGCTCTCCACAGCGGGAAAACTGCCAGAACACTGAAAATCCATCATCCATCAGCTGATTGTTCTCAGCCAGGCAAAAAATAACAATTAAAGTTTAATTGCATTATTTCCTGATGTATGTATCCCAGCAAGAGCCACATTTAAACTGCAACACCAACTGGAAATGATCCTGCTGTGGGCCCAAGATAGAGCTGGGGTATAAAAAAGTTGCCCCCTTCCCCCCTCCACATCTCCAAAAAAAGATCTTCACTAACCACAGTGAGGTGTCTGAAAAGTGCTGCCATGTATCAGATCAGTTTAGACGCAGCAAACTCATTGACTCAGTGGTTGAACAGGCTCTCATACAGAGCACTCCTACTGTGGCCCTGCACCTGCTCATCCGAGTCATGGGACAAACACACACACAAACGCAGCTGCTGTCTTTTCCTCTCCTGCTGACTTCCTGGCTCGATAAATGGAGTGGTTGTCACAGCCATGTCAGTGCCTCTTGTTGCCGGGCAACAGGCCATGCCTTAATTCAGTGTAAAGCATGCATGAAGACGCTGATTGTGGTGAAGTTGAGCTAACATCATTGTTACACACAGAAGTGTGCTGCTTTAACTTTTTTGTCAGAACCTTGAACCATCTGCAGAGTCTTGATACAGTGTCTGTGTCTGTGTGACAGTGTCTCAGAGTGAAACTAGGCTGCTCTCTGAATTACCTTTTCTGTAAGTGAGTTAGCCTGTGAGAATGTGATTTCTCAAACATGAGTGTGTGTCCTCGTGGAGCTATTGTTCTGATAGAGGACATTCCCACCCAATTTAAAGTAAGTGATAATGAACAATGAGACCTCCCACTACAAGAAAATAACTTTCCTATATTGTGAAAAGCAGAGCTTTGTTCTTTAATCCGGGGCCACTTAGAAAAACCGTTGACATCTGACTTTGAACATTGTTTGGTGATTTTCCTGTTCCCCTCAGCAGTACCAAACAAATCAGGATTGTTGCTATGGCTACTTGCAAGGCAATCATAATCACAGACTGAGAATGTTAATAAATCATTGTTGCTAAAATGTCCCAATTTATGATTTTAACAGATATTTTAAAGCATGTCAGCATGTTTTCTAATTTATTTATTTACTTTTCCCGTCTCTACGTTCAGGCAGTGCAAACAACTTCCTGTACACGAGGCAGGGCCGCAGCCCCGTTATCGACGGTGTGGACGACACCAAGGAGCTCTGCACCACTCGCAATGCCTTCACATTGCTCGGTAACACACACACACATATGTAAAAATATAGACACATACACATCTGTGTGGAAGCTGGAGGAATTTGTAACCTGTGCATGTCAGTGAAAACTCATCTGGCTGCTGTGTTTACTTAACTGGTAACTGTATTCTTTAACTATAAAATAAATTTAAAAAGTACCAGGCAAGAAACTTTAGGATGAACATGGGCATCATTTTAGGATATTAACAAAAGTTTAAGGATGGACATTGTATACTGCGGTTAAGATTGGGATTGCAACAGCGAATGTAAGTCACGCAGATATTCAGAGTGTCAGTGTAACCTGAGTGTGTATCTGTGTTTGTGTGTGTTTGTCCTCTGCAGGCATTAATGAGTCCTATCAGATGGGGTTGTTCCAGGTTTTGGCTGCTATTCTTCATCTGGGAAACGTGGAAATAAAGGACAGAGATTCAGACAGCAGCCTCATTCCTGTGAGGATAATATTTATAATTCAATACTGACTGTTAGTGGACCATGTGTAAAGCAGTTGCATAATATTTGCAATTTACTATGGCTGGATGGATCTATGGTTATGTGAATTTTAGTTTGAGTTTTTATTTGAATACAATTCCCTGTCTTGTCTTTTTCTGATCTTGTGTTCCAAGTCCCATTTTTGTTCAGTTTGGGACAAAAGAATGTTCTCCGTCCCATTTCAGTACCATAACAAACCTATATACAGAAATCAAATTGTGTTCACATATGGTCTCGAGAAGTGTTGCATTCATTTCCAATCTGTTCCTTTTTGTCGTAAACAGCACTCGGTTTAAATGTTTACATGATCCAAGGCAACACTTTTGCTTTCAAAAGCTTGACACAGGAAAGACATAATATTAAAATCTCTGTGGTCAAAAGTCTTAAATTAGAAATTAGCATTAATATGATGGCCTTTAATATTTGAGGCAGTCTAAAAACAATTATGTCATAGATTACTATTATATTAATTATGAATGTGTTAGTTGCTCTATAAAAAGACATTATGCGCCTATTTACATTGACAACATTACCATAGTCACTGTGGAGATGTATGAGTTATAGATAGAGTGCATCTTTAAGGAGTGTCTAGATATAACAATGAGAGATCCAAGAGGACTTTCAACTGAAAAAGTAATAAGTCAGTGCTATAATTTTTTGCTGAAACATTTATTTATTTATTTATAGCATCAACCCCCTTGTTATGACTACTCTCCTCTTTTCCTTTAGCCCAACAATCGGCACCTGATGGCGTTCTGCGAGCTAGTAGGCGTGACCTACCAGGACATGTCTCAGTGGCTGTGCCATAGGAAGCTGAAGACGGCCACAGAGACGTATATCAAACCCCTCCCTCGTCTGCAGGCCACCAACGCCCGTGACGCACTGTCCAAACATATCTACGCCAAGCTCTTCAACTGGATAGTAGAGCACGTCAACAAGGCTCTGATCACCAATGTCAAACAGCACTCTTTCATCGGGGTCCTCGACATCTATGGGTACGTCTGTGCATTTGCTTGTCTGTGTGGGATCAGTTTCAGAGGAGTAACAAAGAGGGATAACAAACCAATATGAGCTTTTCCCCTTCATTAGTCAGATTTGTCTGAATTTGTTAATAGACATTATAGTGCACGCCATTTGTTAGATCTAGTAGTGAAGTACATTTCACTGACTGTCCGACCAATTAACTGCAGTCGACCACTGGAAATAATTTCAGGAAATATGTGAAACAAAGTCGACAGAAATAATTTGCACAAGCATGAATTTGATGAATGAACAGACCAAAAGTTATTCAGCTGCTTAACTCCACTATTCTTCCTCACAAGGTTTGAGACATTTGAGATCAACAGCTTTGAACAGTTCTGTATCAACTACGCTAATGAGAAACTCCAGCAGCAATTCAACATGGTGAGCAGCATGTGTTTTGCTCGTAGGATCGCTAATTATATTCACACACTGTTGATTTAATGCAAGTACGCAGCTTAACCCTCAACTCTGTGTGTGTGTGTGTGTGTGTGAGTTCTCGCTGTGTGTGTGTGTGTGTGTGTGTGTGTGTGTGTGTGTGTGTGTGTCTGTGTATCTGTGTGTCTGTCTCTGTCTCTGTCTCTGTCTCTGTTTGTGTACAGCATGTGTTCAAGCTGGAGCAGGAAGAGTACATGAAGGAGCAGATCCCCTGGACTCTGATTGACTTCTACGACAATCAGCCCTGCATCAACCTCATAGAAGCCAAGATGGGAATCCTGGACCTGTTGGACGAGGAGTGCAAAGTACTTTTGATTCAGTCCAATAAATTATATTTAACACTTCAGATGCAGAGAGAATTGTTTCCAACACGCCACAGTTGCCTTTTATTTGATGCAGTTTACTGTTTTGACCTTTTAAGAGCTCTGCCCAAAAGAAAAGCGTTTTGTAGTTAATCTGTTTTTACATGATTGGTACAAAATTTAAAAGAATAAATACAATAATGTAAGACTTGATGACTCATGAATTCTGATAGTGGGTCAAACAGGAAAAGTAGCCTCCATGCTGCGCATTGAGAAGAGGCTTGTGGGTTGAGAATATTTTTTCCGCTAATATCCACGTTCTGCTTCACATTTTACACACACCAGATCAGACCAGAGACTCCAACACCTACATGTATATTTCACATCAGAGTTCACCTGCAGGAAGGAAACCCAGAGTGAAACAGTGACCACAAGTTTCAACAACTGCAAGACAGTTTCTCTTCTTCCTTCTTGTCCAGTTTACACAGAGAAACTGAATGCTTCTATTCATGCTTGTTAGATATTGAGCACTTTCAGCTGTAACTCGGATAATAAGTCAGTTTACAGTCTGATTGTATGTTTCTTTGTTTGTTTTATTTGTTTGTAAAAGTTTAGTTTAAGTTGAATGTATTTAAAATAGCACACCTTATGTTGTGGTAGCAGTCACATTAAACATGTCAGCCTCAGTGTCAAGTGCATACTGCTCATATCTGTACCATCTAAACTTTCATAGCTCAGCCAGATCACTAACAATGCTAACTAATCTCTCTGTGGCTTGTAATCTCTACAAGGTCATTTTATAGGCTGTTGACATTTGAGGTGGGCCACACTGCTGACATTATTGCAAGGACATGCACTTGCTGGCAAGGAAATATCAGAAAAAATTTCTGTATGAGTTGAGTGACAAGACAAATAGCAACACCTCTACAATGTAATGAAATGCAATCTAATAACTCTGCAATGAATATAGTCTGACCTAACATTAAGTTTTGTTGTAGAGGGATTTCTCTTTCACTGGTCATTCAGTGTAAATATGAGCAGAGTGGTTTGTACTCCACATGTTTCCCTGATTGCTTCCTCAGTGTCTCTTCCCTCTGTTTGCCAGATGCCCAAAGGTTCAGATGATTCTTGGGCTCAGAAACTGTACAACACCCATCTGAAGACCTGCTCCCTCTTTGAGAAGCCACGCATGTCCAACCGCGCCTTCATCATCCAACATTTTGCTGACAAGGTGGGACTGAATGACATTGTTTGTTTCATGTTGTGCATAGTGTTAATCATAGCACATGGATTCAAATCATTCATTCATTTGGAAATCAAGTTTCGTTTCTTACTCAGCCAGAAAAGTAACGTGAAGGCAGGTGTTGGTTTGAAGGATTAGTGCACTGTGTTAGCATTTGCCTTTTCAGCTGCATAGACAACATTTAGGAACAGATTGGCTGCAGTGGCTACTGCAGTGCTGGTGTGTGATATTTTTAGGATGGCTGGAGGACAGTTGACTTATTCCATTGTTATCACTGTTTTCATACAAAAAGGCACTTCTGCAATGATGTGTTTAGAGTGTCTCTGTGTGTGCTGATGTAATTCACTTTAGTATAATACATCTCATATCTTGTAATGAGGTAAGTGTTATTTTTCATGTCTGTTTTTAGATCCTCACTATAAGGTTACAGATAAACGGGTCAAGGACAAATGTAGGCTTTCCCAAGAGGTCTCCTGATATTAAAACGAGATCCCTCGGAAACATTTCTTACCAAACATTTGCAATGATTGATCATGGTGTATTAAAAGAAACTTGCATCAAGAGTTAGGGCTGTATATAACCTATACTGCAGACCTGACTGTTTGCTGTCACTGGTCACCTCAATTTGACTTAAAACCAAGAGATGAAAAAATAATTTAAACATGAGTTATATCCACAATTATAATTTAAAATATTGAGGGTTAGTCTGCTGAATACAGACCCTGCATGTTTGTGCCCCTCTGAGGAAATCTACAACAAAAAAAAAAAAAAATCACAACACCTTGCCAGTCATGTGGAAATAATTTAAGGTTGGCATTTTCAGAAGAAGAGTTTCAGTAACAAACAAAAAGTTTACAAGAATATTTTGAAGTTGTAACACAAGCTGTGCTCTGTTGTTGTTGTTATTGTGTTTTTGTTGTTTTTGAACAGGTCGAGTATCAGTGTGAAGGTTTCCTGGAGAAGAACAAGGACACTGTGAATGAAGAACAGATCAATGTGCTGAAGGCCAGCAAGGTGAGGTGCACACACACAAACACAGACACACATCTACTTCACATGACAGTGTATACAGTAATTCAAAAGCATATCCTGCAAAGGCAGCAGAGAGGAGTACTGTAAAACATGTCTCTGTGTACCTTCAAAAGAAGCTTGAGGCTTTGGCACCTCGTCTAATGTGAGAAAGAATAAACTATTGTCTACTGACTGTCTGAAGGCTTAGGGAAGTGGCGCCCCCCACTGGCCACATGGAGATAATGTTGGCCCCAGCAATGAAAACAAATGATGGATGATGAGATTTACTGTCTGAGGTTTATGTTTTGTTTACAGATAACAGACAAAGCTGAACATACACACACACAGTTCAGTGATTTTTCACATCAGATTCATGCTAGTTGTGTCAAAGTGGGACTTTACCACAAAGTTTTAAAAGATACCATAACCTCTTTTACTTTATGCTCAATCAATTAATCAATCAATAATTTGTAAAGAGTACATACATCGCAGATCTTTAAGGGATCATTTTTGGGACCAAAATGAAATGGAACTGAAACACTTTATATGAGACTCTACACGGGGATCCAGTCTCTCTACACACTACTCACTCCACGTGCTATTGAGCCTAAATAAGTCAGATCACATCTGAGTTAACATCACGTGTGTGTGTGTGTGTGTGTGTGTGCGTGGGCGTGTGTGTGTGTGTGTGTGTGTGTGTGGGCGTGGGCGTGTGTGTGGGTGTCTTGGTTCAGGATCAGTGGGTAAAACCCAGTCAGGTCAAAAGGGGCCAAAGCCTTTAAATCCTTGCTGATGTTTTGGCTACACACACACACACACACACGCACACACACACACACACACACACACACACACACACACACGTACACATACATACACATGCACACATACATACACACACATACATACACACAGAGGCTATGATGCAGTATGTTTGTCCAAAATGCTCACAGTGACCTTCGACTGTTCTCTTATAGACTTCAACAAGAGCAGAGCTGGGTAAGGGTTGAAATACTGTCTGCTCTAACCTCTAACACGACCACTTAACATATACACACACAGACACACAAACACACTGTATAGTCTTATTGTTGCCGTGGAGATCAGTAAGACTTAACCTCCTAGGACCTGGCGTCCACATATGTGGACGTCACATTTTGGGTTCTCTAGACCACAATACTAACTTTTTCTCAACAAGGGCCTGGTGACCACATTAGAGGACATTATTCTGCCACTTAGTGGTGGGAGAAGAGTGTAACACATTACAGATTAGATTCTAGATAGCAGACAACACACCCAGATGTTCAAATGGCCACTCCCGATCCCAATCCTGCCCTGGTAAAAAATTCAATCAAATTTCATGGTTGATTCTTGTTCAAATATGTATAAAAGTATTCAATCTTTGTTATGGAAGTAAAATTTTACAAAAGTTAGGAACTGTAATGATTTACCATGCCGCTAAACATGATGTCCACATATGTGGACAAAGGGACTTAGT